TCCACAGATGCCAATAAATAACTTGAAATTCACATGTGCTCAGAAAAATGTCAATGTTGGGTTTTGTTTCCTAATTCATTTGCAATCTGATCTGAACTTAGCTGCAACTTCTGACCAGAACTAATGTGAAACTGTTTAATGTCTTAATTTATCTTACTTAATGTGACTATTCATATGCATTTGGTATCATACTCTTCATGCATTTGAATATGAACTACAGGGAATAATTGCATAGTGTAAAATACATATTCTGTATCATTTTCCTAAAATGTAAAAAATTCTGAATACCAAAACACATCTGGCAGCAATTTGGTTACATTTTTAAACTCCAAAAATTTCACATATAGGACATTAAAGGAGAAACTTACCATCTTCCTCTCCAGCTACCAGGTACTTTAAAACATCAATCTAAAACTATTTTCTAGAAGGAGAAATTATGGCTTATTGTAAAATTCATTTTCTAGACCTGAGTTTTCATTCATAAACACTCCCTAGACAATTCCAAGTTCCAGGCTTCAGAAATGACACTAAAGATACATGGATCAAAATGGTCCCATCTCTGCCTTTGAGGACCTGATCCAGAGTCTGACTCTGCCAAGTAGGATCAAGGGCAACACAGGAATTCTAAGCCACTACTCACTGTATCTGCTTTAGCAACATAGTGGAAAAGGAGTATTGGGGTTTGCTGAGCTCCACATATAAAGGCCCAAAATAAAGCACGAGTAGGAAATGAATTTATCTTTTTTAAAAAACATCGTTTTACCAAATTGCAAGTTGTAAGAGACCACTAATATCTGTGAAATTCACTTTTATGGATAACACATTGAATTAAATATAAGATACTTGCTTTCACTTCATCCCCCCACACCCCCTTAGTACTTGCAATGAATCTCAAGTCTTTCTGTGAGAATTATGTTATGATTAGTAAGTCTGAGAAGAAACCAGAGAAGGAGCAGGGTTAGTAAAGCAGACAGTGCAGGTTTTATTTAAAAAATGAACATGACAAGTATACCCAGCCCTTCACAGAGAAGATCTAAAATAGTATAGATTTACAAGAGCTGTTCTTTTCTATTTTTTCAGGAAATCATGTGAGTTAACTTTAGCAAGTAGTTATGATAATGGATTGCATCTCTTTATTAAACTTAACCAGAACTCAGATCAAAGCAAAATGTTAATTCTGAAACTCTGACACATTTAGTCTTCATTGTATTTTTCACTATCATGGGAAAATCTGTAGTTTCTGTATCAATTTTGAAATGCTTTTTGTTTTCCTTTCTTCGTTATGCCAGCCTTTCATGAATAACTATCCTACACGGGGAGACAATACTACTCTAGAAAAAAGGCTAGACAGGCATTCACTCTCAAGCTAAATTTTATGTTTTGTTTTTCAACCACTTTCACTCTAGTGTCCTTTAATAAGTCATTTTAGGAACCTTTCACCTTACAGGCGTTGGTTTCTATGGTGGTTTGCCAACAGTGTGCATTTCCACAGGTTCATCTCAGCAAACCTAATAATACTCTGCAAACTCTATTCTCTGCTTCAATATATTTCAAAATGATTTTCCTCATCATCCCTGATAGGATTCTACAGCTAGGAATGAAATGGAACAAATCAGACATTTACTCTGGGGACATTCACTGGGAAATAGCATAATATTTCTTGTGAAGGTAATTACACCAGCACAAGTCATGCTTTACTTCCTTGTTTTAGGCGCTCAAAAGTTGTTTTTTTTTTTTTTTTCACAAATAGGATGTGTTAATCCTAAATTACATTTAAAAAAACAATTATATTGCTGAAAGTGAAACCATGAAAGTAGCACAAATAACTCCAAATCAAAAATCACAAATCTCAGTAACCAAAACCAAAGTAAACAAATCAAGACTCTCAGATTTGAGTGTCATTTTAGAGGTTATCTAGTTTAACCTTCTTGCCAATGTAGAAATTCATTTTACTAATATATTCCTGAGAATAAGTTATCCAATTTTTGCAGAAAGGCAGTAAGCATATTACCATATGAGATGGCAGTTCTGTTTGAAGTTTTTTAAAATACTGAGGAAAAAATCTGCACCCAACCAGTCTTAGTTGTTCTAAGGCACGTAAATCAATCTACTCTTTCTCTCAAGTAACAAATACTCAGGTCCTGGAAGACAGACTTTATATTCCTATAAAAGGCTAATGTCAGCTCTCCCTGGTGACTCAGCAGGTTAAAGCATAGCACTAAAAACCACTTCCGCATGAGTTCAATCCCTGCCTGCCCCAGAGGTGACCACATGGTGTGGCAGACCTCTCCCAGTCTGACCCACCTGCTGCTCCCCTCAGCAGTGTACTTTGACGATCTGCCTGTTTTGCTCCCCACTCTGTCCCTGGTGAATCTTCTCACTGCCCCTCCACCTCTGGCTTGTACCCCAGTTCTGTATGCATAAATAAATAAATCTTGAAGAAAAAAGAAAAGGGCTAATGTCCCAGTTCCCATCATTGTTTCTCACATGTAAAGACTTCCTTCTACCCTTTCAAAAGCTGAGTCCCTCTTATCTAGATGCAGTGTAGTGTCATGAAGTGAGAACAGGTTTACTTAAATAAACTGGGTTCCTGAGCAAATGCCACGACTTGCTTGCCGAGTGTCCCTCAGAGAGCTATGTCTTTAGACTTGAACCCATATGAGGAGATAAAAGCTGAGAAATGGAGGAACAGTGCATCCTTCACTGCATTGGTAGGAGCTAAAAGAGGGCAGACGTGTGCAAACACAACTTCTAAGTGACATACAGCTTTACTGGGGAATGTGAAAGTTTTAATTTAGCAATATCTTTCTTAGATTAAGACCCTCGCCATGCATTCCTACAGTACTATGGAATTTCTTGTGAACTGGCAGGGGGAGACAATTTATCTTCTAAGGACTGAAAAATGCAATCTCTTACTTCTAGAGTGGGACAATACGAATCATGTTTCTGGTTTACTATGCCAATTAAAATCTTGGCTTTCTTTACCCATATAATATGCTGGTAGGTTTGGTCTCTTTCCTTCTAAAATTTTTTTTTTTGAAGATTTATTTATTTGTTCATACAGAACTGGGGTACAGGCCAGAGGCTCAGGGGCGGTGAGAGGCTTCACCAGAGACAGAGTAGGGAGCAGAATAGGCAGATCGACGAAGTACACAGCTGAGGGGAGCAGCGGGAGGGTCAGGAGAGGTCTGCCACGCCATGTGGTCACCTCTGGGGCAGGTAGGAATCGAACTCATAAGGAAGTGGCTTTAGTTTCTCAGTGCTGTGCTTTAACCCGCTGCGCCACCAGGGAGGGCTTCCTTCTAAATTTTTATAATTTATTTTGTTTTCTAGATGCAAGATTTTTCCTTTTTTTTCTTATAAAGTTTATCCTTCCCAAATTGGAACTAAAGTACTTCCTAGCTTTGTGTGATAGACAAATTTAATAAAGCTGCCTTCATGTCTTTGTCCAAATCTTTGATAATAATTTTGAGTAAAACATGGTCAAGGACAGGATGTTTTGGCAACTTCTATAGCCCTTTTATCAGGTTGATTTGAACATTAGTAAATCACAACAACCTACGAACATTTTATAATCCAGTCTAAACTGTCCCCATTTTGTTCACAAGGGTATCGTAAGATTATCTGTCAAAGGTCATATTGAAATTTGGATACAGTGTGGGTTTATAAAACATACAAAAAAGAAAATGAGGGTGGCCTATGCACATGTCAGGGTCTTACTGGTCAAAAAGGAACAACTTAAAGTCTTATCTAGCAAAGGAATTTAATTCAGGGATAGTTTGGTT